CTCACTAAGACTCCTACGCTATAGACCTACAAATCGAACCCCTGCTGCCTATGGACCTACGACAGGCCTACCAACTGCCTACGAATACACAGGTCACGGGTTCAATTCTCGGGTTCTACACAGATACTGTACATGGGTAGGGTGAGGTCTAGGGATCGAACCCTGGGTACTGCATCCGCTACTGCTAAAAGGTGAAAACCGTTTCACTCCCGCCGTCCTAAATTCAAGGTCCTCCGAGAACATTTCAGTCCAAGGCGGGACCTTTACCTTTCTTGTCACGGTCATAGGCTCTGACTATGTCGGGAGCGGTTTCTAGAAGTTCTGTTTTCGTGAACCAGCGGTCCTCTTCCGGTTCCTGATAGGCAAAACGGACTTTGTATTGTTTCTGGGGACGACCTCTACCTYCTGTTCTGAACACATCCTCATCTACAATGCCTTGAATGTCATAACTTCCATCCATATCCGGGGGGATCATGGATCTTCTCGAAGGGAACTGTTGACTTGTGACACATGGTAGCAGCTTTGAAGCATGAAACACGGGGTATGTGTGGAGGTGTGCTGGAATCTCAATGCTATAGGACGGTCCATCCTCTCCGCCCTCGACTTCTAGAACCGGCCACGGTCCTCTATATGCGGGCAGTAACTTCTGCGAGATGTTTTCCTCAGGTGCAAACTCTTTAGCCTTGACCCAGACTAAGTCGCCTACCTGAAACTGGGATGGGCGTTGGTGCATGTTAGCCTGTTCTATCATTATGTGCTGGGCCTTCCGAAGGTTCTCAACAACAATGGCCAACTCCTTTTCGTGCTGTATTGCAAACTCCCTGGTACCGGGCGGTAATCTATGAATCTGATCTCGGTTCAGTTCTTCGAACGGTCTGCGTGGTCTAAAGGACTTGTGCAACTCATTGGGAGTGCGGCAGGTGGATAGATGCACGTTGTTGTTGTATGCACTAGCTACCTTAGGCAACATCTCATCCCAATTAATCTGATCTGGTCTAATGTACATGCGCAGAACTTGTTGTAGGATCTTGTTCATCTGTTCTGTCTGACTGTTAGTCTCTGGGTGACGGCCGGACGACATTAACAACTTAGATCCGTAGACTCTCATGAGTTCTTGCCAGTTTTGGCTGGTGAAATGACTGTCCCTATCACTAACTATTGACACTGGGATTCCATTCTCACTAACCCAAAAATCGAAAAACTTCTGTATAACTAAGACTGTACGTGCCTTTGCAGGCAAAGGAACGAAAACTGCATATTTGCTAAAACGGTTAACTACCACCATGACTTGGCTCTTACCATGTCTACTCTTGACTTGGGTGTCCATGAAGTCTATGGACACGGAGTCTCCCGACTGATCCGGAATAGGCAAGGGTCTGAGAAGACCTAGGGGCGCGCGTGTAGTAGACTTATTCCTCTGGCACACTTTACAATTGCGGACCTACTCTACGCAGTCATTCTTCATTCCTGGCCTAGCTGGCCAGGTATACGCACGCATCAGGTTGGATAATGTCTTTTGCCAACCGAAATGCCCTTCGGTATCGTGGCATTCCCCTAAAAYCAAACTGCGGATCTCTTCGCTGTTGGGAACACACAGGCGGTCAAACACATTAGTCTTCTCAAACAGCAACCCGTCTGTAGTGCGGTAGTCTGGTTCAGTCTCTGGGGCCTCTCTAACTCTCTTTAGGAGGTCGCTATAGATAGGGTCCTGCGCATATGCATGCTTCACTTTCTCCTGCAGGTCTCTCCCTATATCCAGATAGTGTACTACGGCTCAAAAGTAGTCTGATCTCCTACTCAGAGCATCCGCAACTACGTTGTATTTGCCCTTTACTGGCTTGAGCTCAAAGTCGAATTGGTCTCTCTCTCCGGCCCACCTAGTCAACTTAGGTGTCATCTTGGCCTGAGTCTTTAACCATCTAAGCGTTTCGTGGTCCGAATACACTTTGAAGTGCCTCCCAAGCAGATAGTGCTTCCAATGGTCTAAAGTCTGCCTGAGAGCGTAGAGTTCCCTCTTGTACGTGGAGGTAGCGACCTTCTCACAGGGCATCCTCGCKGACATGAACTCTACGGGTCTATAGCCATTGTCGTCGTCTTGCTGCAATACGGCGCCTATCCCATACTGACTTGCGTCCGTGGTAACGACAAACGGCAAGGACGGATCTGCTATTTTGAGGACAGGATATTCTATTAACGCGCGCTTTAACTTCTTGAGCGCAGACGTACAGTCTTTGTCCCATTGCCAGATTGCCTCTTTCTTTAGCAGTTTGCACAAGGGGGCGGCGATAGTGGAGAAGTTCCTCACGAACTTCCTATAGTAGTTAGCTAAGCCTAGGAACGACCGCAACTCTGTCAATGTGCGGGGCGTCGGCCAGTCTCTAATCGCCGCTATATTGCTGTCCTCTGGCTTAATGCCATCTCCGTCCAACACGTGGCCCAAGTACAAAACTTGTGTCTTGGCCCACTCACACTTCTTTGCGTTGATCTTGAAGTTAGCCTCTCGTAGCTTCTCCAAGACCTGCCTCAGATGACCCTGGTGCTCCTGGAGGGTCTTACTAAAAACTAGGATATCATCTAGATAGACTACTATAAACTTATCTAACCACGGTCTAAACTGGTCGTTCATACAACGCTGAAAAGTAGTTGGCGCGTTGGTTAGTCCAAAGGGCATCACTATGAACTCATAGTGCCCGTATCTAGTCCGGAACGCCGTCTTATACTGATCATCAGGGTGGACTTCTATTTGATGGTATCCGAACTTTAAGTCTATCTTAGAGAAATACTTACAACCCTGCACCCGATCTAAAAGATCGTCTATCCTAGGCAGCGGCTCAGCATTCTTCACAGGGATCGCATTCAAACCCCTATAGTCTATACACATTCTCAGCTCTCCTTCCTTATTGGGGACAAACAAAACGGGTGCTCCAAAAGGAGACGAACTGGGCCTGATCTAACCTTTCTCTAGGAGCTCGTCTAACTGCTTGCGAAGCTCCTCTAACTCCCTGGGGGACATTCTGTAGACTGCACCCTTAGGAGTTCTACTGCCAGGCTCTATCTCTATCCTGTGCTGGATGGGTCGCGACACTACTCCTGTCGGCGACTCAGTCAAGTCTTTGAATTCTTCCAGCAGCTTGGCAATTGTTGGATCTGTGGAACTATCCTTTTCCTGGGCCTCAGTGACAGGTCTAACATAAACTACAAAGACCTGGTCTTCTAACTGCTCCTTTTTAACTAATCACGCGAACGCGGGAGCACTGAGACAGCAATGTGCCAAGGTGTTGTCTACACCCGACACATGGAACAAGCGGGCAGTCTTAAGCTCACCCGACGGACTAGGGAGCCTACACTCATACTCTCTCAAATGGAGTGTGGCCCCTGCTGCCTCTCCCCAATCCATTCCTAAAACTACATCAAAAGGAAGGTCATCCTGCACGAGTAGAGTCAAAGAATGGAGGACCTTCTCCACTTTTCCATTCTTCTCTAGGGGAAAGTACGCCTGGACTCCCTCTACGTAGTCCTCAACTCGCATCGTGCGGTTGTCTGCGAGGACACTGACTATGGGGTCTACTAACTTCTGGACTTTTAGTCCTAGCCTCAGCT